ATTTTATGTCTCTGGTTTTATGTCTGAGGTAGAAGATTTATGTCTCCCCTCAGTAATGAAACTTTCCACATGCCATATGGCACTCACACACCTTCTCCAAGTTGCCTCGAATTACCCTCATCCATCCTGGTGTTATGACACTTCTGATCAGATATGACACTCATTAAAAGCAATGCCAGGCAGCCAGCTACTTTATGACATGTCACTTTGCTGGTCTGGCCCCTGGCTCCGTACACCGTCTCCTCTCTGCTTTATTAACACTTTCCCATCACATAGATCAGCGTCTGTCCCGCTTCCCCGCGCCGTCCGTCTTCTCCTCCTCCTCGCCGGAAAGCGATGATCTGAACAGGTGAACGTTCCAGACAAGAGAGCCTGTGATGTCTGGGTTCAGTGTGTACCTTGAAGCGTATCTAAACCCCAAAACTATCATTTAGGATACATATAGTGTAAATACCGGGGCATGTCCCCCGCCAGGGGCCACAGGTGCTGCATAGAGCCTCCCATACAATGGCTGTAAGCAGTATATAACGGAACTCTAGGATGTGCAAACATTAAAGGAGAACTATGAGGGGGGTGCTTTTCACTCACCTCATAGTTCTAGTTCACAATGAGACTGTCACAGGTCGGCTCAGTAGATCGGGAGGTGAGCGAACACATACCGGCGTTCGCTCACTTCTCGATCCTGTCACAGCTCTCTGCCGTGATAAGGGAGGGAATGGATTCTCCCCTCCCCGCTCCGATCCTCCAGCGCTGACTGGCGGAACGGACGGGAGAGGGGGGCGGGCACAGCTGTCTCTGCCTCTAGATAGGCAGATCCAGCTGTCACTCACGCAGCTGGGCGGATCCAGACATAATTGTCGGGATCCGCTTCAGCTGCGGCGTCTCAGTATACCGCGAGCTGTAGCTCCCTATATACTGAGCCTAGGGTGACGGGAGGAAGCTACTTTGTGTCCTCCCGTTACCCTAAGGAGAACTATGGGGAAAAACACTGACCCCATAGTTCTCCTTTAACCCTTGTGGTGGGGCTCCCCCCTGCTCCCCGGGACCAGGGAAGGCGAAGTATAAGTGAAATAAACTTCAGGTTTAGCTGCTCACATTTAGGGCTCATTTACGACCACATCCAGATTACCTCCAGACCAGATTGTTTCCAGACCCAAAGTGCATCCTAATGTATCCCTATGCTATTTCTGGACTCTGTTCACACCATCGCAGTCCGTTCCAGACCACACCAGAAAAATATTGCATGTCTCATTTTGCACCGGAACATGCATGAACACGTCAAAAACGTGCTGGAACACACACAAAAAACAAAAACAACAGCTTTTGGCGAGCTTGGATGACATCATCACCATTTGGACTTCCTGTGCTGAGGAGAGAAGATCTTGCATGAGAAAGGAACAATGATGGCTGAAGTAGATACAGAATATTTTGTGGCACTTGTAGAGCGTTACCCTGAACTGTATGACCCAAAGCAAAGGTCTGCATATAAACTCCAAAATTGACCCTTTGCTTCCCTTAGCCTCGGGAGCGGGTGCACCCAAAAATGACGTCTCCTGCGAGCACGTTCTCTGAGGATTGCTGTAGCCAACACTAACATCATGCCTGCATATGGTTGACACATGTCTGCTCCCTACCTTTCCACAAGCAAACAAAGGGAATTCCTTAAAAACAGAAGGAAGTGATCTTGGAGCATTATTAGCATACTGACAGCCCCCAAAAAATAAAAATGGAACACACTGGAATGCGTCAAAACCGCGTCAACATCGCACTACACCATGTTCCAGATCTGGACCGGAAAATGGTGTGAGCCCGGCCGTAGTGCCCAGTCAACTGGGCGTTTAATCGTGCAAATTTGGCGCGCGATATCGCGAGAAGTCTACGTCCAATGATGTTCAATATAGCTTTTCTATTGAACAGCTCCGTGTCGCTTTTTCCCCGCGGATGTCGCGCGATTTTTCTTTTTGCATGCAGCCCGACGGTGAAGGTCGCGCGATCGTCGCTGGAACGTGGCCCCCCGAACAGTCGCGCTATCCCCGGCCACGTGGATCCGCTCGAGGTAAGTTTCGCTTATTGTGAATGGGGCCTTACGGATAGTCAAGTATTGTCCTGGATAGGATCTCAGTGCGCCGGGCTCCCAGTGCTGAAAACAAGTGATCAGTTTATAGCAGGGGTGGGGAATCTCCGGCTCTGGTGATACTGCAAATCCCAATGACGGATTGCAAGATTCTCACAGCCACAGGCATGACTCCCAGAGACAGATGCATGGTGGGATTTGTAGTTTCAGCACAGCCGGAGGTTCCCCACCCCTGTTTTATAGCAAAAATGAAAGATATTTTATTGGTCAAACTTACTGATTCCTGTAGTATTCACCTCCTTGTTCTGTCTTTGTATATATTGCAGGAGGGACAGTAGTGTCATCAAAGAAGAAATCAAAGCCTTCCTGGCTAATCGAAGGATATCGCAGGCAGTGGTTGCACAAGTCACAGGTGAGTACAATGGGCCCCGTGGATCCTCTGTAGACACTTCCCTGAAAACTGAGCAAAGAGAATAATTGATCAAAACTGGAGCAGATGGAATGTGGACCAGTTGTGCATGTCAACCAATCAGCTTCTCACTTTAAAGGAGAACTATTAGGTGAGTCAAAAATCACTCATCCTCCTAGTTCTAGCCGACGTGTGACAATGAAACTGTCACAGGTCGGCTCAATAGATCGGGAAGTGAGAGAACACATACCGGCGCTCGCTCACTTCTCGATCCTGTCCCTGCAGAGAATGGTGACTGTCACTCACGGCTCCCTGCAGGGACCCCCCTCCCCGCTCCGATCCTGCAGCGCTGACTGGCGGAATGGACGGGGGATGGGGCGGGTACAGCTGGCTCTGCCTCTAGATAGGCAGAGCCAGCTGTCACTCACGCAGTTGGGTGGTTCTCGGCCGTATACAACAGTATACGGCGAGCTGTAGCTCGCCATATACTGAGCTTTGGGTCATGGAAGGCCGCTAGTTTGTGTCCTCCCCTGACCCTTAGGAGAACTATGGGGAATTCACTGACTCCATAGTTCTCCTTTAATTTTCAAAGCTTAACAGAACAAACTGAAGTGAGAAGCTGATTGGTTAGTATGGGCATCTGCTTCCGGTTCTGTCTGCTCCAGTTATGATAAAGGATGGTGTCCTGCCACTGGATACTGTAGCCTCTGGTTGCTGTACACCTTTCCATTACGTTACAGATGAGGCGGTGGGCTTCACGGCCAGTTTGGTATTTGCTTTATGTCTCGTTTCATTTCTCAGAGCCTGTTTTGTGTCTTGCAGGCATCAGTCAGAGCAGGATCTCTCACTGGCTGCTCCAGCAAGGCTCAGATCTAAGTGAGCAGAAGAAAAGAGCTTTTTATCGGTGGTACCAGCTGGAGAAGACGAGTCCCGGTAAAGTACCAATTACCGCTTTATTGTTATAGCCTGTTACTGTCTCCTCATCACATGCGTTCTGTAAATCCCGGAGGATGCCATGGAAGTTGGTTACAATTTATGGTGTTTACACTGCAGAGCGTGAGGAGCTTCACTGCTAATAATGGGGCTGACTGAGTGGAACTACGCAGCTTACCAGCTCACTTTTAACCCCCCCCCCAACATTTCATATTGCCTCCTAATCACCAACTTTATTTCTGTTTGGCCACATGCTGATACGTCTCTTCTCCCACTCTTTAAATCCTGAGCTGCCATTTTGACTCCCAGACGTCATTCATTTTTTAATTCTTTATTTCGTTATCGCACAATTTCGGGACAGGAAAAGAAAAATTTATTTATTACAGGTATTTATACCGACAATTTACACAGTGCTTTGTATGCTGCACATTCACATCCGTCCCTGCCCTCGAGGAGCTTACAATCTAAGGTGCACATTCACATCCGTCCCTGCCCTCGAGGAGCTCACAATCTAAGGTGCACATTCACATCCGTCCCTGCCCTCGAGGAGCTTACAATCTCTAAGGTGCACATTCAAATCCGTCCCTGCCCTCAAGGAGCTGGCAATCTAAAGTGCTCATTCACATCAGTCCCCACCCTTGAGGAGCTGGCAATCTAAGGTGCTCATTCACATCAGTCCCCACCCTCGAGGAGCTGACAATCTAAGGTGCACATTCACATCAGTCCCTGCCCTCGAGGAGCTCACAATCTAAGGTGCACACATCAGTCCCTGCCCTCAAGGAGCTGACAATCTAAGGTGCACATTCACATCAGTCCCTCTCCTCAAGGAGCTCACAATCTAAGGTGCACATTCACATCAGTCCCTGCCCTCGAGGAGCTTACAATCTCTAAGGTGCACATTCACATCCGTCCCTGCCCTCAAGGAGCTGGCAATCTAAGGTGCACATTCACATCAGTCCCTCTCCTCAAGGAGCTCACAATCTAAGGTGCACATTCACATCAGTCCCTGCCCTCGAGGAGCTTACAATCTCTAAGGTGCACATTCACATCCGTCCCTGCCCTCAAGGAGCTGGCAATCTAAGGTGCACATTCACATCAGTCCCTCTCCTCAAGGAGCTCACAATCTAAGGTGCACATTCACATCAGTCCCTGCCCTCTAGGAGCTTACAGTCTAAGGTCCCGATATCGCATACATGTAAGGGCCAATTTAGATAGGAGTCGGTTAACCTTCCAGCATGTCTTTGGAGTGTTGGAGGAAACCCACACAAGCACAGGGAGAACATGCAAACTCCATGCAGATAGTGTCCTGAGGGGGCAGGAAATGAACTGGGTACCCCCAGTGCTGCAAGGCCAAAGTGCTAACCACTACACCACGGTGTTGCATATCATTCAAGATCATTAAAGAAAATAAGTGGGTACTTAACCCAATGTTTAAAGGATAAGTTCACTTTCTTACAAAATGTGAGAAAATGAACTTACTGACACCATGCCGCCACCCCTCCTCCCGGCCCCGACTGTGCATAACTTGGTGCTGCCCTCACCAGCCGATATACTGCACACCATACTTCAGCCCCACAGTTACCATTCAGCATAATGCTCACAAATAGCCAAGCACTCATTGGTCAGTGCAGTTACATGGTCCGCGCTGACCAATGAGAAGCACTTCTCAGCTGGGGACCTTAACGTACACTACTTAGAAATGACATCCTGTTAGTACTAGAATGGTACCCAAAGGACATTTAATGGGGCAACCTGACAATGTCCTTGGTGGTACCAAGTTCCCACCTCTCAGCTGAAACTTGATGGCCGGTTTGCACCCCCGGTACAGTATTGGTGTATATTTATTAAATATATTGGGGGGAATTTTTCAAAGTAATTGCGTCAGTTTTAGCCTCTTAGATCATTTTTTATGTGCTAATCTGTCTTTCAACCTTTCAACACTTGCTCCTGTTTTCTTCAGAGCTTGCACTACTTTTTAACTGCACGTTTTTTTTTCACGCGTTTTCATCTGCACTTCCGGGCTGTCTGAAACTGGAGCGTCACCTAAGGAAACAATCACAACTTAAGAAGTTCCCATGACCACTTCTTCAAGATGCGACAGTTAAAAGAGAACTTTGGGGTCAGGGCTTTTCCACATAGTTCTCCTTAGGGTAACGGGGGGACACAAACTAGCGTCCTCCCGTCACCCTAAGCTCAGTATATAGGGAAGAACATTACACTAGCAACATAAATCCGGTGCAAATATATTTCGTGCAAGTTCAAAACACTCGCAATCGCTATGATAAATTCCCCCCAATGTATCTTTTTGTGAAGAGGAAAATTTGTAGTTGAATATTTAAGAAAAAAAAAAAGAACGTGTCGGCGGTGAGATGAATTCTGGTTCCAGTCAGTGATCTAGCGATAGAGAAATGGCGTCTTATTTTTCATCTGCCTTAGGGAGGCCAGCCGCTGCATTACAGGTACACGGGAAATCTACTTCTCTCCCAGTACTTAAACCGCGGAGTGGAACAATTTTAAGCTCTTTTCTAGGAGTAAATTGTGAGGAGGACGCACCTCCCCGCTCACTTCTCGGAAAGCCCGGGCCCGTGCCTGTGATTTCATCTTGCGCCGTACCTTGTGGGGGTTACCAAATCACATTTCCAGCCAATTAGGCCGACTGATGCTGTGCAGCTCTCATAATCACATTGCAATCAGCAGACGGCACGGGCCTGGAGACATCTGAATGCACCTTCTCGGAGAAGGAGATCTGTGTGCTCTTACTGTCACTGTGCACCGCCGCTGCTTCAACAGAGACCTTAACCCCTTCCTGGCCGGGGCTGCAAAAAATGCAGTTTTACTACAGAGTTCAATAGGCATGTAGACGGCTGGATACGTCTCTATCCGGCGTCCTTACATTACACATTTTTAACAGCGTTCTTTATCCTTCGAAAAAGTGAGCATTGGGAACCTTTCTGTCCCCCATTTGCTGTCCAGGGGGGCCAGACACTTGTGCCTGATCTACCGTGTTTCCCCGAAAATAAGACACTGTCTTATATTTTTTTTGGCTCAAAAAAACACACTAGGCCTTATTTTTGGAGTAGGTCTTATATTTTTATTTTAATGTACAACAATCCAAAGTTAACGCAAATCAAAATTAAATAATCCAAAATGGCAAAGTTAAGAATAGTGTGATCGGGGCAATCGGGGTGCCGTACCTTTCCAAGAGCAATTTGGTAACCAATCGCTGGCCAGAATGAGCGAAACAAACTTTCACTATGGATTCCTCACAGGCGGAGTGCATTTGGTATCACTCCGCCTGTGACAGGAGGCGGCGCTATAGAGGAAGCATCGGCTTATGCGGCTCTGCTCCCTCCGGTGCCGCCTCGCTTCCTCTAGCGCCGGCTTCGTTGGCACCGCCGATTCTCTCCTGCGGCTCTTCAAGTTCCCCCTTATGCCACCACCGTCCCTGGGAATGGTCACAACTAGGTCTTATTTTCGGGGTAGGTCTTTATATTTTAGCAATTCCCAAAAATAGTACTAGGTCTTATTTTCGGGGTAGGTCTTATTTTTCAGGGAAACAGGGTAGTTACATTGTATCTCATTTGTGCATTTACACCAAAATTTCTTTTTTTCTTAGGACAGATTTGAGTTTTATTTTGGTTACCAAAGTAAAAAAAATAAGACTAAAATGAGAATACATTCTTTTTTATTTATTTTTTTAAATTTCAGTCACTTTTGCTGCCCAGATAACAGCGTGCAACACTTTTGTCTGGATTGCACACATACCAAACATGCATGTAGCCCGAAGCTTAAAGGAGAACCATGGGGTCAGGGCTTTTCCCCATAGTTCTCCTAAGGGTCACGGGAGGACACAAACTAGCGTCCTCCCGTGACCCAAAGCTCAGTATATAGGGAGCTACAGCTAGCGGTATACTGAGACGCCGCAGCCGGTACGGATCCCGACATTACTGTGGATCCACCCAGCCGCTTGATTGACAGCTGGCTCTGCCTATCTAGAGGCAGAGCCAGCTGTACCCGCCCCCTCCACCGTCCGTTCCGCCAGTCAGCGCCGGAGGATCGGACAGGGGAGGGGGGGAATCCCTGCAGGGAGCCGTGAGTTACAGTCATGGCTCTCTGCAGGGACAGGATCGAGAGTGAGCGAGCAACGGTATGTGTTCCCGATCTTTTGAGCCGACCTGTGACAGTTTCATTGTTACACGTCAGCTCGAACTATGAGGGGAGTGAAAATCACTCCCCTCATAGTTCTCCTTTTAACATAAAACAATAATCAGGTACTAATAGAGTTCAGGGTAACTGAGTAATTTTCACTCAGCTCATAGTTTTCCTTTTAAAGTGACATCATGAGCGAAGTACCGGGGCTGCCATTGTAGGCTTCCTTATGAAGCTCTCTGGCTTCGGTATGTTTCAGTCACAGTCCCGGAACAAGGATGATGTAGATTAATGTCAGAAAAGAAAAACACAAGAACATCCCTTGTCTTCATGAAATATGTTTTATGATTTAAAATAGTATTAAAAGATGAAATGCTATTCACAAAGCCCATATGATCGCATACGTGTCATAGAGATAACAACATCCACCTCCAAAGAATGCCGGGTCCGAAATCCTACATGAACTAACATGTTTCCGGGGTGTACCCCCTTCATTAGAGTTCTGGCAATCTCTTCAGGACTGTGTGTGCGTGCATGGCCAGATTATTATGACCACCCCATCAGTACTTTGTTGGGCCGCCTTGGTGACTCCACGAGATGATGAAAGTCTTGCCCCTCCCCCGTTCTGCCCTAACATTGACTAGTCGCTGACGGCCACAATTCGCACGCTCAGACCCAGATTTTCGGCTGACAGTCCGGTCTTTAAACACTTTAACAATGAGCCGCTCCTGAACATGTAACGCATTCTGCTGTTTCGCTCCATGGCTCCGAGCGCCAACAATCATCCCGCGTTCCAAGGCTGTTACATCGCGTTGTTTCCCCGAATCTTCAGAAACAAATCACTTCTACTGTCGAATGGTGTGTGTGTGTATATGTGTGTATATATATATGTATGTATGTGTGCGTGTATGTATATAATATATATAATGTGTGTGTGTGTGTGTATATTAGAATATATATATATATATATAGATAGAAAATTGACCTGGATAATGGAGACACTTCTCCTCATACACCGCTGCAGCCCAAGCTTACTAAACAATTCCTTTCTTTTCTTACATTTTCCAGGTGCAACTCTAAGTATGAGACCAGCTCCCATCCCTATAGATGACACCGAGTGGAGGCAAACCCCACCGCCTGTCACCGCTACCTCCGGTACGTTCAGGTTACGACGGGGCAGTCGATTCACCTGGAGAAAAGAGTGCCTGGCTGTCATGGAAAGGTACGGCATGGTTCATTACGACTTATAAACTTGTTTTGTATTATGGAGGTGTGTGCACAGGAGCAGCTGCTTTTTGAGAGCCATTCCTGCTGTGTGATACGAGGGAACGACCCGAGTTTTGACAGCCAGTAATCCCAGGAGCGGAGGGTGATGGCGTTGAGAGGAGAGGAGCCAAACATCGGAGATGCATTCTAGAAGCTTTGACGTTTTTCAGCATGTATGTTTTGCATTCAAAATCCTGAAGTAGTCCATTTTCTTTTATTTTCTTTTGGTGGAGATTTCCCCTCACTTCCTGTCCCAGAGACACAAAAGGAAGTGCCATTATGTCTCTCCATAAATGGAGAAATCCCCTCTTGGATGTCACCTGACCAGGTGTCTCTATTGGAAGATTTGGCCAATTCTCCTGTTGTAGCTACTAATGTAAAATGTTGGATTTCCTGTCACTTATTGTTCCGATGATGATGATCCCTGGACAGATGGGGAGGAGGAATCTCCGCAGTGGGGACACAGACAGCAATATTTTGATGGTGGTTTAACCCTTCCCTGTTGTATCCAAAGCTAAAGAAGAAAAGTTTTGACTATTATACATACTTTGTAGATACTTTAAATGTACCCCCCATGTTCCACATTGCTGGCCATGACATCAGCATCCCTCCGGGAGGATTCCTGGTGAATGCAGACTCTGTGAAATCTCTCAAGGAGACGGTTTGGCCCATTGCAGGAGATTTTGGCAGCTCTGTATATCCCAGGATCAAACCCAGGGGTGAGCAACTCTGGCACTACAGCTGCGCTTTACCTACAAATCCCAACATGCCTCTGGGAGTCATGCCTGTAACTGTCAGTCTTGCATTGCCTCATGGGACTTGTAGTTCCACAACATCTGGAGGGCCGGGGTTGGCCACCCCTGATCTAACCGGAAGGAGCATGATCCCATCTTTGGCTAGGAGCTGCAGGCAGAAGATGGGGTAAATATAAACTTTATCGGACCCATGGAAGCGATCTGACGGCAGAGCCGCCATAATCACTTACATTGAAAGCAGACAGCCGGCTTTACTTTTGCAGCACGGGGGAGTCAGTTTAAACGGGGCCCGCTGCCACCGGCATATGACATACGTCGGTGGCAGCAAAAGGGTTAAAGTGTATTTCCACTTTTGCAGTCGAATTTGAGAAAACCCCATTATATGTTTGTGTGTTCCCATTTACACAGCATGCCAAACATCTGAAAGGAAGATGTTTCTTTGGTGAAGGACTTTGTGCAGATTCAAGGCTACTCTGAGCAGTTTGAGAGTGAAAGTAGAGGGACAAACTGAGGGTCAGACTGCGCTCCATCAGTTGCTGTTCAAATCTAGATTACAAATGATAATGAGATCTGCTGGCGCAGTACAGACAGGGTTCATTAGAGTAAAAGTAACTTCCCACAACCCCCCTCAACGTTACATGGGGGGAGAGCTAGGTAGGTGTTTAAAGGTAAAGTCCACTATTTGGGGGGAAAAATAAATGCACAAATCTTCACATTTGGAGCCAGTAAAGCATTGCAGCTACTTCCAGTGGATTGCAAGAGCAATGCTCTGGCTCCTGCAGGCTCTTCCTCCCGTCCCTGTCCGTACCGAGCTACAGACATTCAGTAACATGGACGGGAGGAAGAATGAATGGACTGCAAATGCAGTGATGAAATACAAGTCCCTCTGCCCTGGTGGCTGATAGGACTTGTAGGTTCTCCATTCACAGATCCTGTCAAGGGATATTGACGTGGCTTTGTGGGCAGAGCCAAGTACAGCCGTGCCAAATAAAAAAAAAAGATCCTCATTCCACAATTCAGGTAAAGGGGGGCGGGGTCTGGTTGCGATGTGACCGTTTCATGTTACACCCTTAGTATGGGTGTAATATAAGTTGTCACAGTGCAGGGAAAAGCAAGGTGGAGTGCACACAGGAGACAGTCTCCTGCATTCTCCTACAATTGATCTTTAGCCAATGTTATACGTGCAGTTGTGTGTACAGGTGATTGATTAGAACAATATAGAGCGTTGTGGTATCATGCTACACTCCATAGATCCCTATGTGCAGCAAGTGCTTGCAGTTACTTCATGGGCTGTAAAGGGCATGATCGCTCTTGCAAAAATCACTCGCGTCCCTGCAGCCTAACTCCGAGGCTAGCGCTAGTCAACTTGCCAAGTGTACTCATTAAGTATGCATGCCTTGCACTCCGCTTAGAAGTACCATGCGCCTCCCTCCTAGCAAGTCTGGCCAGAATGACTGATGTACTTCTCACAATGGGCAGGTATTGCCAGTGGTCCCGGAACTGGGAAATCCTACTGCAAGAGTCCTTGTGAGGCCATTGGGTGAGCCAGCCTGTCGATAAGCTACATTAGCCGAGTTAGATTATTATAAAAACAAAAATGAACACGGCTAAGGTAATTTAACTGGCTTTCCCTTGCTACCAATATCTCTAGTCCTGAGACGTAAACTGCACCAGGGTGAGCACTTTGTTCTGCGACGACTTATGCTGTCAATAATTTTATGATTGGTTTATCCCCCTTCTGCCGTCTCCTATCGATTTGTTGCCGTTCCAGAAGCCTCAGATGCTGTTTTTTCAGCTTTGCATGTTCTGTGGACGGGGGCCAAGTGTCTGCTATAATAATATTATACCTTGATCTTAAAGTTGCTGGATCCAATTTAGCTGTGCATACATTGCGGCATAGCTGAATATGGAGATAACTCATTCCTGACAGACCTCGAATGCACCCACATAAGATCAGCCTCATATGTCCAGGGTGCTTTTCTTGTGCCGCAGTAATGCTGTTGGGTTTTCCATATGGTTCTTGAAATGGGATCTGAGATGAGGAGGCTGTATGGGGGGGGGGGGGGGGGGGGCTTATGGAAACACCCCTATATTGGCTGCCTTTGTCTATACAAACATCATACTTTAATTATAGTTGTCTAAAGGCTCTTAGTCAATGGATTTTGGGCATGTGCCTATTGCCAAATGTGGTGTGCTTTCGGGTGCACTCCGTTTGCATGTGACATCAGTTTGAGATATTTTTGAGATCCTTCAGAGTTCGTTGATGAGTGCGTTTTAACCTGCATATGACCACCCCCTTCTAAACTGCGTCAAGCTGCTTTTGGAATCCTTTGTATGGGGAGGGAAAAGGTTCTTATGTAAACTAAACTCCATTGACTCCTTAGGTGTCCCGGTAATGAAATCACTTCACCATCGTTCCTGGACATTCCTCACCCACCTTTTGGGTGTCCTGGTTTTGTGTTCTGATTTAGGGCCTGTTCACACGACGTCCGTTTTCTGTGCTGACCTGATCCGTACGCTCCTGCACTAAAAATGCATCCCAATGTATCCCTATGTGTTTTATGGGCTACAGTTCTCACGTGCGCAGTCCGTTCAGGTCACGAAAAATACTGCATGTCACATTTTGTACGGTCAGGAAACGCACCGGAAACGCAAAACGCGTCAAATGCACTGCACTGCAGCTAACATACTGACAGCCCCATTCCAGCAAAAAAAACAAAAACATTATTTATTTTACCTGGAACGCATCAAAAACGTGGGCCAAAACGCACTGCATCAGTAGCACCGCGTCTGCAGTTCCGCACCTGATCAGGACCTGATATCATGTGAACAGGCCCTTTATAAAAATTAATCAGGGTTTGTGGGTCCCGCTGGACCTGGCCATGTCAGATGGGGACACATTCAAAGATCTCACCAGAGAGACAACCAAAATTGTTCTATCTATTCGGTATTGGTTGAACTTGACTCTTCAGTGTGCCCATAGACAGCCAGGTACTTCCCAGAGAACGATGAGCCGGGGGGCCGGATATCTACTCACAAATGGAGCAAGTCTTCAGAGTATCCGGATCTACTGGGATTCTCACTGGATGGTGACATTGACCCAGTTGTGTTATTTTGATCCTTCCTTCTGCTATGGAGCTTGTTCCCTCTACTGAAGATCGATCCTTGCTCACAAGGGGATTGTCCAATAACTTTTCTGTGCAATCACAAGGTCCCTTGGCTGCTGGAGGCCCCACTAGAAGATCAAATTATCAGGTTGCATGACTTGAAGGCGATGGTTAAAATCAAGAGCATTTTTGCTTAGGACTTTCCTTAACCGGCTCAGCTCTCTTACTTTGTACACCACCTATGGACCAGAGCAGTTCCTAGCATCAGTACTATGGGCCCGTTTATTCAGCAATAAACTTTGTCATTACTTTAGATAACAAAGGAATGCATCTTTTTTTTTTCCACTTCCTGTTGCTCATAGAAGAGCTGATGTAAAAGAAGATGGCCAGAGCTTAACAATGGAGGTCTGTCATTAGTGAAGTGAGTCCGGACAGTCCTTATTGACCAGGAAGAGGATGGCACTCTTTGCAAAGTTGCAGCTTGTTCATTCTATGCTTCGTGCTCCTGAAATAATGATTAAGCTCTCATTCACACGACTAACGGCCGGCCCGTACAGATCCATGCTGCGTGCGCGGCCGTATCGGGCTGTTCCCGGGAAGGACAGGTGCTGCGTGTGATTTGTACGCAGTAGCCTGTTCTTCTCTATGGGTGTACGCCGCCGTACGGTCACCCAAACTGCACGTCCGTGCGGGTGTCCCTGCTCGGACGCAGGCAGGATCCATCCTGTCAGCGTACGAATACGGACACCTGGACGCGTATGGCCGCATACTCCCATAGAGAAGAACAATCACACGCAGGACCTGTTTTTCCCGGAGCGGCCCAATACGGCCGTGCACGCAGCACGAAACCTGCTGGTCGTGTAAATGATGGCTAAAAGTCAGATGAAACTTCTGCCACATCCGCAGGCCAGGACCACTCATTGGAGGGAAGAGGTGGTGTGTATTGCAAATTTGTAACCTCATCAGTAATTTACTTATCAGATATAACACACCAATAACGAACTCCATAGCGTAGCGTGCCTTAGTTGTACTGAGGGCATTGGGTGGTGGTCTGTGAAGGTTCTCGCTCATCCAGGTCATGGTATATCTGGGGGGAAAAAAAATCTGAACTGAGAAAGCTGGTCGGATGACCAGCAAAACATCTTCAACAAAAATACAGCAAGTCAAGCTGCCTGGGTTTATATTTTTTGGGTGGTGGGGAATTTTGTATGTGTTTTATAAACTTAAAAAGCGATGGATGTTCTTTACGTATATAGATAAGATAACGCTAACTATGAAAACTTGAATTTTCCAGCTATTTTAATGAAAACCAGTATCCAGATGAGGCCAAGCGGGAGGAGATTGCCAATGCGTGCAATGCAGTTATACAAAAACCAGGTGAGTGTGATATGTCTGCATCTTTCTGATCTCTACAGTCAGCACTTCTGTATATACACACACGAGTCTTCAAAAGTATTAAAATCTCTAAGAAATAACTATTTTAAATACTTCCGTGCCGGCCGTTGTATAAAAACGGCCGGCCGGGAGCTCTCTAGATCTGAGCGGGGCGTCTTTAGACATCCGCTCAGCCACGCCCCCTCGCGCGGGAAATGCCCGATATTTAAAAACAGGCAGCGATGCCTGTTAACATACAAGCAATCCGCCGGCTTTACAGCCGGCAGATCGATTGTATGGGGAAAGGATTGGTGGCCCGACCTCTCCCCCCGTCGTTGTCCCGCTGGTCCCGGGCTCCGCTATGCACGGGATCAGCATGGTGCCTCTGTCACAGGGGATCAGAGGGAGATCAGTACACGAGCTCCCTCCGGTCCCCTCTCCACTGCAAGAATGCGCAAGTATTGTATATTACATCACTTCCGCATTCTTGTGTCACTCTCCAGCTTCATCAGCTTCTTTTGGGGGGTCCCAGGTGACTTTATGGGTCTTGGAGACCCCTGATGTCTCCTTAACCCCTTCATGACTGAGCTTGTTTTTGGTTTCTGTTCGTAAATGACTGACACACTTTTGACATTTTTGCTGTGTGATTCTTCCACGTCAGTAATATACTTTCTTACAAAGTGCACCCACACATATTATATATTGTTTTTTAGAGGACAGATAGGGCTATATATTTATATCACATATGTGTGTCTAACGCCTCACTTAGCACAAATACAAATTAAAAAAAGAGGAAAAAACACAGCGCTGAATACTGAATAATGGCCGGGCCAGGAAGGGGGTGTAACACCGCGGTCTTCAAGCGGTTAAAGGTTATATGTTTTGTTTTTAAATAATTTGCCATTGAATCGATTTTTAGAAATATAGCCAAGAGATAACTTACCTTACAAATGGCTATTGCTGATGGAAATTACCTCTTGATTCACACGGGACTATAATGTTTCAATAATCGGTCATCCAGAAACATTTGTAATCGCGTTCTCACAACCTGTCATGTTGTTAAATCAAAAATAAAGGACAGTTCATTTGTGGGTTCAAACATTGCTCCAACTAAATGGTTTTCCCGAAAAACGCATGGTTTCATTTCTCTGGGAAAGTGAAATTATTCCAATGCGTCAACTTGCCGAGAAACCAATGAGTAAAGAGAAGAGGAAACACTGGATTTAACCAGGTGTAGAATGGGAACCTGTTTAGGATGCGTTTATTCTAACGAAGGACCGCTAGATCGAAATATAAGGGTTTGGTTTATCTACAAATTGGGGTTTACGTCAATTCTTTTCACAAAGAAAGGGAATATACAGGTGAAACTCGAATAATTAGAATATCGTGCAAAAGTAATTGCAGTAAGTGCTGCAAAAGGGGCCCAAACCAAGTACTGAGTACATATGCATGCTGGTACTTCTCAGAGGTCCGATATTGTTCTATGTACAATCCGTGTTTTATTGATTGCATGTAATAATCTACTTTCTTGAGGTTGTGGATTTGGGGTTCTTGGGGTTTTCATGAGCTGTAAGCCATAATCATCACAATGATGACAAATCACGGCTTGAATTATCTTGCTTTGCATGTAATGAGTCTCTCTCATATATTAGTTTCACCGCATAAGTTGCATTAGTGAAATAAATGAACTTTGCCCGATATTCTAATTATTCCAGTTTCACCTGTAGGTGACGGGTGGCAGTGAAAGGGGAAGAAGTCTACTCTGTAGCATACTCACTCTCTTTACAACTCTCACACAAGGCCTCTGTCTACTCTTCGAAAACACCAATCAGGGGGTCCCAGCCAATCACATGAACGCTTGCTGGATTAAGGCGACATTCACACCTACACTTTTGGTCCGGTTTGGTATCCCTGGTATCTTGGCATTCCTGCTGCAGGAAATTGCAAGTTCCTGGCCCAGGAATACCAAATTGCACCTAAGTAAGGCTCTGTTCACACCTAGGCGTATCGAATATGCGCGTTCCGTGACACGCGTTTTTACCGCGATTCGCGGTAAAGAACAAACGCGCAACAAACGCGTGTTTCCGAGGGCTACTTGGCTGTATCCCAATGGAAACGCGCAACAAAAACGCCGCAAAGAAGCTCATGTACCTTTTCAGGCGTAGGCCGTTTTGTAGCGCGTTCAGTCGGGCTGAAATACGCCCAGGTGTGAACCATACCCATAGAAAACAATGGGATTTTCATGTTTGAGCGTTTCGTAGAGCGTTGAACGCGCTCCAAAACGTACAGGTGTGAACCAGGCCTAAGACTTGTCCATAAGGTCCTAAACGTTTGTCACTGTCCTCTGTTCCATTCATGTGACCTCTGATTTCTGAAGGTGGTTATTCAGACTGAGATGGGGAGAATTGTAATTGTGCTCCCAGCCAGCCGGCCCTGCTAGCAGTTGTGTCCTCACAAATACCCCAGGGGGTCATAGCGGGTAATTCGAAGTGGCTTTGCAATCGGTGACACTGCTTAACTTGCGTTTGATACCGTAGCTTGATTGCCAGCACCTTCCCACCCCACTTACCTCAATTGTGGGGTCCTGCTGTTGTTTTTTTGAAAATGGCACTGCTGTGTATGGCTCTGCCCACACAGCCACGTCATCCATTCTCATGTCCTTTGACAGGATCTGTGAGTGGGGAGTCTACAAGTCCCGTCCCAGAAGGACTTGTAGGTCTCAATGCAATACTAGTCTGGTGACATCACCAGACTTGTAGTCCATTCATTCCTCCTTCTGTCCCTGTAACTGAAAGACCATACCTCGGTACGGACAGGGATGAGAGAATGAATCTACAGGAGCCTTAGCATTGCAAACCTTTGACTCTGGTGAAGAGGGGATGCCCCCTCCAAATGCATTAGTTCAGGTGCTAGGTCACCTTTGTTGTTTGAGAAGGTGTCAGCTTTTTGGCCAGTAATTACTGACGTGTGCGGTCAGGGCAGACCCCAGGACAGCTTAATCATGTTTAAAGCCCGCATTGTCTTGTGGTTTGCGTGTAGATTTTTTAGTGTGTTTTAAAGGAGAACTATGGGGTCAGTGTTTTTCCCCATAGTTCTCCTTAGGGTAACGGGAGGACACAAACTAGCGTCCTCCCGTCACCCTAGGCTCAGTATATAGGGAGCTACAGCTCACGGTATACTGAGACGCAGCAGCCGGAGCGGATCCCGACGTAGATGACGGGATCCGCCCAGCTGCGTGAGTGACAGCTGGCTCTGCCTATCTAGAGGCAGAGCCAGCTGTACCCGCCCCCTCCCTCGTCCGTTCCGCCAGTCAGCGCTGGCAGATCGGAGCGGGGAGGGGGGAGTCCAGCCCCTCCCCCTGTCACGGCAGAGAGCCGTGACAGGATCGGAAGGTGAGCGAACGCCGGTATGTGTTCGCTCACCTCCCGATCTACTGAGCCGACCTGTGACAGTCTCATTGTCACAGGTCGGCTAGAACTATGAGGTGAGTGAAAATCACTCATCTCATAGTTCTCCTTTAATGAATTATATATTTTTCTTTGATCATTGTACTATGCTGCTCTGTTTTTTGGCTTGTTTTTTGCATGTATACGTTTCCTTGTGCACATGCTTCACAGACATCAGCGACCCCTGAGTTTGTTCAGACCCTACCCTGATAAGCCCATGCATACTTTGAGGTTCCTTTTGGTAGTGAGACATGAGCAGCAAAACTTGATTCCAAAATGGAAGGAAGCCAATGGGGGTTCCACAAGTGACTCATTGAGGTGCTTACTGCCCCACCACCAGGTTCACACTCCAGAAATCCGTGCAGAGCAATGTTTTGTTTGTCATCGTTGCATATTATTCAGCAAGGACCTTGGAATGTTATGTAAAATCACAACAATCTACATAATTTATGTGGAAACAATAATTCATTTCCCTATCAAAGCCCTTGGTGGAAAGCCAGCCAGCTTAAATTCAGCCCGATGCCAAGATGCTTTTGGCAGGTAGCTGTGCGAGGTGCAAGTAGATGTTTCTGTGGCATCTTCATTGTGATTACCGATTTTCAAGGTTAACTGATCATACTTTGTGTTTTAGCTTGCAGGTGTTTGAGAAATCTGTTGTATCTGTTTGAATGGCATCCGGAGTTTTGTTTGGTTTTAAAGCAGAGCTCCAACTATGTAGAAGAAAAGAATAAATGCTTTCTCAAACACTTTCTAAAGTTTTGTACTGAAGTTCACTTTCTTGCCTCATCACCGCTGTGTCCGTACTCATAAAGTAAATATTACTTCCCGCTTAATGCCCGCTTAACTTTCCAGTTGTGCAACAGTAAGCATCACACAGCCACTTTCTGTTTGTTAGGACCACATGCCAAACACAAGGCCCGCGGGCCGAATCCGGCCCGCCAGACCATTTCATATGTCACACCTCTCCCGCAGTTTTACATTTTTTAACCAAAGCTGGCGCTGTAAACAGGCGCCGGGCTTCACGGGAAGGCTGCCGAGGTCCCCAGCAAGGTCCCGGCTGCCTTCCCGTGAATCGCAATGCCTATTTACAGTCTTGGGCGAAAATCTACTTCTTGCAGATCCATGCTGCTCGCACCCACGGAGACTGACCAGGACCCCTGGTGAGAACGCACAGCCCAGCTTAGAACCTGCACAGCCACCTGAGAGTCCACACGGCCCAGCATAGACCCTGCACAGCCACCCGAGAGTCCGCACAGCCTAGCCTAGACCCTGCATGGCCCACCTTAGAACCTGCACAGCCACCTGAGAGTACACACGGCCCAGCAAAGACCCTGCACAGCCCACCTTAGAACCTGCATAGCCACCTGAGAGTCCACACGACCCAGCCTAGACCCTGCACAGCCCGCCTTAGAACCTGCACAGCCACCTGAGAGTCCACACGGCCCAGCATAGGACCTGCACAGCCACCTGATAGTCCACACGGCCCAGCATAGAACCTGCACAGCCCAGCTTACAACCTGCACAGCCAGCTTAGAGTCCACACGGCCCAGCTTACAACCTGCACAGCCAGCTGAGAGTCCACACGGCCCAGCATAGAACCTGCACAGCCCAGCTTACAACCTGCACAGTCAGCTGAGAGTCCTCACTATTACACTAATTGCCATTTTTTTCCCTAGACTTCGACTTTCAGTGCTTGTTATTGGTTATGATTAAAACCAGCAATAATCCAATGCAGAGGCAATGTTTTAATATGATAAAGAGTAGAAACCTTTTATATAGTCTTAGAGATGCAACAGGCCCTTTGAGGGCAAACATAATGCTGATGCAGCCCGCAATGAAATTGAGTTGGACACCCCTGGTTTAGACTCTCCTCTGTAGTTTTTGACACATACAACAAGTGCTGATGCCGGGCTGGATTGAATGGATCACAATTGGCATGAGATCCCGTCCAGTCATGACTACCTTATGGGCCTTGCTTGTTCTCTACTTTGAGCCTGCAAGTAACGCCTACCTCCTGAGCCCTTCCACTTTTATGTCCGGAACTATCATGAAAGTACACATGGGAATGAGTAGATTCTGGATTCATCGACAGCAAACAGTAACTTCTTCCAGGCACCCTGGATTAGCAAACAACGATGGAGAGATCCTATGACATCATAGATGCTTTAAACTGCTATTTACAGTGCTAAAAGCAAAGAGGGAGATACTTTACAGTGGGGCTTTGCTGGTAGTTCTGAGATGAAGCATATATTGTGGAGGTGAGGTGATCCTGGAGTTGAGCTTTAAGGGTGCAATCACACCAAAATCAGAAGGGAAATTGCAAGTCAATGGAGGCTCTGTTGACTTGAAATTGTACCTTCCTATCCGATGTGTTGTGATCAGGTTTTTCAACGGATGTTAAAATTAATGGGGGTGAATGGGGCCAGTTCACACCAGATCCATTGCGTTACGTTGCATGTTCTACTTTTTTATTCAGCACATCGTAACACAATGGAAGGGAGTGGTGTGAACTGGCCCCATTCACACCCGTTCATTTTTCGGTGCCCTTCTGTTAGCATCCATTGAAAGACTGATCGCAATGCATCGGATCCGGTGTGAACGGGCCCTAAGACCTATTTACATCACAAATAAAGTTCACCACATTTCACCTTTTCCGGCATGAAACATCTTTTAGTAAAACTTATTGAGAAACGTATGATTTTCAGCAACCCCTAAGACCCAGCCCATCCGTTCTTCCTTATTCCCTACAATAAGTTCGCTTTTCTCATTGCAGGCAAGAAGCTTTCAGATCTGGAGCGAGTTACCTCCTTGAAAGTGTACAACTGGTTTGCCAACAGGCGGAAGGAAATCAAAAGAAGAGCCAATATCGGTAATGTACCAGAGCACAGCCGTACTGACCATCAGCTTGAAGGCCCAACCACACACCTTTCTGTTTTAACTACCCCCCATGGAGGCAAACCTGGAAGTCCCATTAAGGAAGCCAGGTGGCGTGTAATGACTTTCCACCCAGCGTCACCAGGTGATGAGGGAGCATGAAGCCGGCTTCCTGGCCAATCAGGAAGCTGGGTGCCGCATCATTACACAGCGCCCGGCTTCTTGATTGGCCAGCTTCCCGACCAATCAGGAAGCAGGCCAGGGAGTTATTACATGCTGCCCGGCTTCCTGATTGGTCATGGAACCGACTTCCCGGCCAATCAGGAAGCCCGGCGCCCGGCTTCCTGATTGACCAGTTTCCCGACCAATCAGGAAGCCAGCTCCATGCTCCCTCGTCGCAAGTGACGAGGGAGTATGGAGCCAACATCCCGACCAATCAGGAACCCGGGCTTCCTGATACCGGAAGCTCAAGTATCGAGCTAGTCATCTGAGCATTTGGACAAGTACTCACCCAAATACTTGGCATCGGCACCGATACTAGTGTCTGTATCGGTCCATCCCTTATTATTATTATTATTAATGCCAAGCAGTGGCCAGCAAAACAAGCAAGATACTATCCTGCATTAAAGAGGCATTGCAGCAAGGGATAAAAACATAATTTGAACCACTTTATAAATCGCTGGTTCAGCCTCACCTTGAGTATGTGGTTCAGTTCGGTCACCAACCCTCAGGAAAGACGTCCATGAAGATCGCCTCCAGAAATTAAAATTGGTCTCCTTAGAAAAGAGGCTCTTAAAGTGACATTAAACCCTCACATTTTTTAACATAAACCAATACTGTAATGTGCGCCTTACTGTAATCCATGGTTGTTTCCCTTCTCTTTGCTGCTCTTCCTTTTAAATCCTCATGTCTTTTCATGCTGGGGGAGAACTTCCCTTTGCAGCTGAGCGCCTCTTCTCTGTAGCGCTGGCTCAGGTTACAAACCAACACACAGACACCATGTATCCATTCCAGAGACAAGGTAGTCTGCTGCAAAACAGAAGTTCTCCCCCAGCATGAGAACAGATACAGATTTTAAAGGAAGAGAAGCAAAGAGAAGGGAAACAACCATGGATTACAGTAAGGCGCACATTACAGTATTGTTTTATGTTAAAAAATCTGACGGTTTAATGTCACTTTAAGGGGGGGGACCTAATTGCAATTTTCAAAATCATTAATGGGGACCACAATATTCGGAACAAGATGTTTACACCGAGAACTCTATTGATGACACGGGACACAACAAGGGGTTAGAAGAGAGGAGGTCTATTCTTAGGCTGCGCAATAGTTTTTTTTTTAACTATGTGAGTAGTACAAATATGGAATTCATTTCCACAGACAATAGTATCCGCTGATGGCATTGATCAATTCAAGAAACTTCTAGATGAGTTTTAGTTCACTCATTATAAAAGGATATGGGAAGTATTAGATCCAAGTATATACAGAGACACACACATACAGGTTGAACTGGATGGACCTGTGTCTTTATTCAGTCTCGCCTGCTATGTTACTATGAGATCAGTGATGGCAGCCGGCTTATTTTTCTCAGTAGAGGTCTCCTTTAAAGGAGAACTATGGGGTCAGGGCTTTTCCCCATAGTTCTCCTTAGGGTAACGGGAGGACACAAACTAGCGTCTTCCCGTCACCCTAGGCTCAGTATACCGCGAGCTACTGAGACGCCGCAGCCGGAGCGGATCCCGACATCGATGTAGAGATCCGCCCAGCTGCGTGAGTGACAGCTGGCTCTGCCTATCTAGAGGCAGAGCCAGCTGTACCCGCCCCCTCCCCCGTCCGATCCGCCAGTTAGCGGAAGGGGGGAATCCAGCCCCTCCCCTGTCACGGCAGAGAGCTGTGACAGGATGGAGAGGTGAGCGAACGCCGGTATGTGTTCGCTCACCTCCCGATCTACTGAGCCGACCTGTGACAGTCTCATTGTCACAGGTCGGCTAGAACTAGGAGGTGAGTGAAAAGCACCCCCACCCCTCCCCCCCCTCATAGTTCTCCTTTAAGTTTGCAAGGTGATAAAAGACATGTCAGTTCTTCTAGAAGTTCTTGTGCTGTGCCCATCGAAGACCTCTCCACCCCTCTCTGCTTTTGGATAATAGATATTTTCCCTAGACTCTTGGATATTACACACTGGGCAGATTTTGGTAGACATGGACCAGCAGTGCCCGGTGTTTGACCCCAATTTGTTGCTCCAAGATATATTACCACTCCTCGGCCTGCATCACTAAATGGGATTTAATACAGTTATCCCGGCAATAGGCAGCTTGAAGCAATACTCTCAGCTTGAAGCATCACTTGTGAGCCACAGGTAGCAAATGACTGATTTAAAAATAAAATACCCTGGTGGCTACTTTTTGAACATTACCTGGAATCCTGAAATAGACCTTCGCTTGACACACTGATATTATACTATTATACTATTATATTGTTAGCATGGCCAGCAGAGACTGCTCGATGTTGCCTCATGTTTTCTAGGAGAGAGAGATCACAAGGATTTTAATTGCTGGTGATAGCCAACAAGTGCTTAATGCAAACTCAACGAGAGCAATAGCCGAGGGGGATCTATTTGTAGCCGAGGGGGATAAATCTGAAGTGCTGGCATTAAACGTGGCATAGAACTAATGCATTACACATACATGCATTGTTTTGTGTATGCTCCTGTCTTCAGAGAATGGATATACATGCTCTTGCGTGCATATGTAATTAGACAATGCATAGGTATCAGAATTCTCATTATTATTATTATTATTATTATACAGAATGTATATAGCGCCAACAGTTTGCGCAGCGCTGTACAATATAATGCTGTGCACACACCTTACAACCACTTTTACCACAACTTTTGTCTTGTGATGGTCGTAAGGTACTTAAAAAAACGTACGATCTGACTATCTTGGACAGGCAGATAGTACTTGCGATGATCGCAAGCCGCGCCCCCCCCCCCCCCCGCGGGGGCGGGACCGTCCGGCTTTTATCTTACGAACATGTTAGCACACCCGCCGAACATCGTACGATGCTCGGCGGGTTTGCAAACATGTTCGTAAGTTTTAAGTCGTGCGACTTTACAGTAGTAGAGGTCGCACGGCTTCCACACACCTTACGATAATCGCACGATCGCGGGATTTCCCGCGATTATCGTAAGGTGTGTGGGCACCCTAAGGAAGACATTACAATCACAATGCAATTCAAGACAGATTGGTAAGGAGGGCCCTGCCCCTGAGGGCTTACAATCTAGTAAAGCCAGTAACAAATTTAGCCCCTAGATTAGCATAATATAGCTGATGTGGCCTTGTGCGTTCACAAGGAGCCAGTGATATTGTCAATATCACTCATTGCTTTAAAATGTAATACATTTCTGTAGTTCATCTTTTCCTGAAGAGGGCCAGTCAGGTTCTCAATTACCTGTATAGTGCACAGTCCCTAGTTTGCCCTGCAATGACAGTAGGAGACAAAGGGAGATGAGTTTAATGGCCGTGGTCACCTGGCAAAGCAGTATTGCTCAGGTGATAACAGAAGTTACCATTTACAGCCAATGTGTTGGGCTCCTGTTACCTTCCCTGTAGTTATGGTTGCTACTGTGTTTCCCTGAAAATAAGACACTGTCTTATATTTTTTTTGAGCTCAAAAAAACACACTAGGGTCTTATTTTCGGGGTAGGCCTTATTTTTTTTTTAATGCATAACAATCCAAAACTAATCCAAATTAAATAATCCAAAATGGTTAAGATTAGGGTGATCAGGGCAATCAGGGGTGCCATACCTTTCCAAGAGCAATTTGGTAAGCAGAATGGGCGAAGCGCGCTTTCACTATAGATTCCTCACAGGCAGGGGGTGCATTTGGCATCACTCCGCCTGTGACAGGAGCCGGCGCTATAGATGAAACATCGGCTTATGCGGCTCTGCTCCCTCCGGTGCCCCCTCGCTTCCTCTAGCGCCGTCTTCGTTGGCACCGCTGATTCTCTTCCGCGGTTTTTCAACTTCCCCCTTATGCCACCACCGGCCCTGGGAATGGTCACAACTAGGTCTTATTTTCGGGAAAACAGGGTAGTAACAGCCTCAACCTAACAAATACCGATGTATGCAAATCTGTGTGCAGAGCTGGGCCCTTGTTCCTGCCCGTATATAATACTGCCATTGGCTTCAAATGGGGAGCGTAGATCTTTGTACCCTTCTTCAGTAATACTCTACAAAGAACAGATTTAGGTCTAGACCCACAGGTGGTTGAAGAGCAGCTCCACTGGAAGCCAGATGGTGAAGTTGATGGTGTGGTGACTGAACTGAATGCAATAGTTATCGGTATTTCAGTCCAGGCCACTGCCATATAACACCGGGCTTCTTCATCCGGCGTGCTCTGCTCCTTACTTGGAATACTTGTAATGTGTTTGCATTGTTAGCTATTTTGTTCTTTTCAATGGGTTGTATTACCAGTGCAGATAATTTTAGGGCCATATTTGCTTTTTTCGAAGAAGCAGCAATCCTGGAGAGTCATGGGATCGATGTACAAAGTCCAGGAGGGCATTCGAACAGCGACGACGTGGATGGCAACGATTACTCTGAACAGGTGAGTCTCTCGGCTTTTGTACTACACTCTCTCTATATTTGTGCTCTGTCTAATCTGCAGGGCATGCTGGGAAATTAATTTTTATTTTTACGTTCTGCCCACGTTTACTCAAGAATCCAAGAATATGTAAGTTAGCTAGCAATGACCACCAGCTATTTAAGGTAAATGCCAGGTTAAAAATGGGGGAGGGGGGAGCAGGTAATCTGTATCCATTGTGCAAGTGGGCACCATTTTCCAGTGTGCCTGTAATTAACTAGCATTTCTCTCGTTTCCTTCTACATACTTAGGATGACAGCACCAGTCACAGTGACCACCAAGACCCCATCTCCCTAGCCGTTGAAATGGCCGCAGTCAACCACACCATCTTGGCGCTGGCCCGGCAGGGGACCGGAGAGATCAAGACAGAGGCTCTGGACGATGACTGAAACCTGACTGCAGCGGGAAGGGTCAAAACTGAAAGTTTCTTAGATTTTTAGACGTAGCACCTTAGCAATCTTTTCCTCGGTCCTTAATGTGTGTTCCTATATCAGTATAACTGCAGTCTCTTGTCCGTAAAGTTAGCTGGTAGGGTCTCGTCCTGTGAAGATGGCATAGTGCCCATATTCACGTCCGCTATTCTCAGTATTATTTCTAGCCATATTCCTTCCCTTACCTGGGTCTAGAACATTTGACTCCATTCAGGCATTCCAATTTTACAAGTGCTTCCAGCTCCCCCCACCCCCTCCCATGCTTCTTCCTTTTTAAGCACCTTTTAAGTGTATTTTTTTAAAGACTTTCTCAAACGTAGGGAGTGTTAAAGCAATGTTTGAAGGCACGGCCAAGTACGGGGGAAGATTCCTCAATTTCCGAACAGCCTTAGCCTGAGGATTCAAAGTCAATCTTAATCCTGTATGTTTTTAGATTATTTGCCAGTTCTTCCCAATATCCTTTGCATTTGCAATAAACTCATGTGCAAACCTTTTGTCTGAATGTCTAGACCAGGAATTCTCAGCTAGGGTTCCGTGGAACCCTAGTGGTCCTCCAGAGGTTGCTATGGGTTCCTTGAGCTGTGGCTAATTGACCACCTTTTTGGATGGTGCCTGCAGAGTTCCAGGACCAAAGCCATCAGCGTGCCATCCATTATCTTTTTAGCTCTCTGTAAGGGTTGCATTATTCCTACTGACCTACAGATGTAGCTTCTGACCCCCTGATGAATTGGTTAAATAAAGGTTCTCCAAGACCTGAAAATAATTTTAGGGGTGAAGGGTTGAGAAAGTCTGGTCTAGACATAAGTTAGCTTTGGGAGTCCACCATTTGTCAAGGAAGTAAAAGTCCCAGCAGCCCTGCCATACACTGGAACTTACATTTGTTTGACAAATGAAGGTTAACAGTCCAAGAAAGAAAAAATGCCTCAATTCTAAATTATGACGCCGGTTTTCTTGTAAAAAAAAAAACACTAAAATACAAACACTGAACATTAAGATAAGCACTTACGTTGCTCTGTCACAGACTCTCGTTGGCTCCAAAGTTTGTGTGCTGATCCTTGTTCAGTCATCGGCCTCATCTTAGCCATGTCCAATGGACTTTGATAGAGCTCTGGCTGGCAAGGCAGTACTTCCTTCTTGTCTATCCAACATATGCCTTTTAATTGAAACTGCCCCATCTTCAGTATTAATTTAGCAAATGATGTACCCCAATGTATTTTTGGAGGTTGGCAGGTGCCCTGACAAAGCACTTTTATTTGTTGTTGTGTCTACTGCAATAGATTTTCTGTTTGTTTTGCATTATTCTGTATGTCTGTGTTAAATATATAGAACTGGTTCGTGTCATTTTGTGATTAGGCATTCCCCGATTTAGGAAATGCCTAATAATTTTACCTTGACTTAATCCAATCTTTAGTACATTCCTGCCTGCGAGCTTCCCCATGGCTGCCTATTGAAATCTGGTATGTTAGCAGATGAAATCTGGAATATAAATGCTCGGAATTGCCCAGATTTGTTCAAGCCCCTTTCCGCCATTTGGAGCTGATCCTGGGCTTTTCTGATCATGTGATCGACTGTCAGTTATCACATGATCAGGAGTCCATCCTATCACCTCTTGTGTGTTGCAAAGTGACCGGGAGCTGTTGGTGACAGCACGGTCACGGTGCTGAGGTGTGCCAATTGAGCGTGTTCTCAGCACTACACAGTGATGCTGGTCAAACGCATATATATGCTGCAGCATGGCATAAGGCCCAGCGCCTTCCTGCCACTTATATGCGCACGGCCGGCGTTCGGGAGTTAAAAGGGAATTATTGCTTAGACCACGTTATCAAACAGTACAAATGTGCCAAACTATCGCTTTGTATTATATATGATGTTATTGTCACTAATTGAAGCTAGAATGAGACTTATGGTGAATCAATCGCACACTAATTACACCTTTTTGTATTTGCAGCCTTGTGTTTAACCCGGACGGCTATCATCCAGGCCTTCCCACACTTATCTGTGGGGCAGCTTGACCTATATTAAAGCTATAAAAGTCACTGCCATTGATGAATTACTAGAATGCGAGAGTTCACAGACAGATACTTGCAGATTTATGGGTGTTTTTAATAAGTAGATGTTAAAGCTCTAAGGCCTCATGAACACTGCTAAGAGCCGGCCCGTGCAGATCCATGCGGCGTGCACAGGCGCATCGGGCCGCTCCCGGGAAGGATAGGTGCTGCGTGTGATTGTACGCAGCAGCCTGTTCTTCTCTATGGGTGTACGCTGCCGTACGCACACATGAACTGCAAATCCGTGCGGGTGTCCGAAGTTCAGACGCAGACAGGATCCAGCCTGTCATTGTACGAATACAGACACCTGCACGGATGTGCAGGTCGGGTGAGCGTAGGACTGCCGCGTACAATCACACGCCGCACGGATCTATACGGGCCGGCTCTTAGCAGTGTGAATGAGGCCTAAAAGTGACTCTATCCCTTCCGTGTCAAAACTAAAAGAAGACTAAGCTGTCAATGAAGAGGTTATATACTTGCCTTTCGGGGCAGAATGTGTTGCTCCTCAGCCACATGCATTCCACAATTCCAGATGTGTAGCATACCTTCTCGCCCTGCATGCATGTATTTCTTCCCACCAGTTGGTTGGAGGAATCACTGTGTGTGGTGGGGGGAGGTTGGGTGAATGTGTGTGGGTTTTCGACCCACCTAAAGGGTCAAATACTTGTAACGGTCAGGGTGGGGCATCACGGCATTTCAACACACAGGTTGCTGGAAAGGTTTATAACCTCCCTTACGGCTATGTCTTTTAGTTTTGACCCTCAAGTGACCGAGCCACTATAACTGGGGGTGGCAGGTATTCGAACAGTCATGATTTATGATGTTGCTGGTACTAGCTGTCCACCTTCCATTGCAGAGGTAGAGAAAACAAAAGGCTAGGGCCTCAAACTTCAGGTTATTTGAAGTCTTCTGGAAAGTCATGCTTCCTTAAAGGAAAAGTCCACTTATTTGGGCTTTTCCTAATTTATCAGGCCCAGGCGAGTATATTAAAGAGCCCTAACATAGTAGGGTAATTCCGTCATGGTCATTCATGAACCTCAAGCTGCTACCCAGCACCTCTTACATTTCCCTATGGTTAGCTTTCAATGACACTAAAATCAAAATACAGTTATAAGAGAGTGCTCAGTGGTCCTCGGCTTTGGCGCCAATTGTATGGTTGGTTTGACCTGCTTGTGTGCTTACAGAAGTGAAAACTGTGTGACCAGTATTTTAGTTTAATAAGTATTATGATGTTACCTTCTGAACTGCCAGCCCCAAAGCTGTAACAAAGCCATACCAGTCTGTGCAGCTGCCATGGGGCCCAGTGCCGCTGGCTGCAAAATTATTGATTTACCCAGACAGCAATTCGTAGAGAATACTGTATTCCCAGACATGTGTTATGAAGGATATTAGGAGGAGTTCATTAAAGATTAAAGGCCAATTGAACTCTGCAGCTATATATATATATATATATATATTATCAAGAGAGAATACTGTACCTTATGAAGGATATGAAGAGAAGTTCATTAAAGCCTGATTGAACGCTACTGTAAAATGCAGTAAAAAGATTCCATGTGCAGTAGAACATTAAGTGGACAAAGTCTTGCCATTCAGTCATAGCCACAGCCATAGTATAATAGCCCGTTTCCTACCCTCATGCTGCAGAGAAGCCAAATCACTCCACTCACTGAAGCTCATGCTGCCTGCTGATTGAAAAGCTCTAGCTTTGGTTCACATGGATTTATCTCGGACCACTATTAAAGGCCAATTGAACTCTGCAGCTATATATATATATATATATATTATCAAGAGAGAATACTGTACCTTATGAAGGATATGAAGAGAAGTTCATTAAAGCCTGATTGAACGCTACTGTAAAATGCAGTAAAAAGATTCCATGTGCAGTAGAACATTAAGTGGGCAAAGTCTTGCCATTCAGTCATAGCCACAGCCATAGTATAATAGCCCGTTTCCTACCCTCATGCTGCAGAGAAGCCAAATCACTCCACTCACTGAAGCTCATGCTGCCTGCTGATTGAAAAGCTCTAGCTTTGGTTCACATGGATTTATCTCGGACCACTGCAGAGAGGCCACTGCTTCTACACAGGGAGTAGCTTCTTTGTAATATGACAGCTGGGTTATTTCACTATGACTGTGGCTTAAAAAGTAATTCCACATTTGTTGAGGAAATAATCCATCCCCTCTGGGTGATCTGTGTACATTGGAAGGATTTTAACCAACCTGCGTGGGAGGGGACCGATCCCTCCTGCGTGGGAGGGGACCGATCCCTCCTGCGTGGGAGGGGACCGATCCCTCCTGCGTGGGAGGGGACCGATCCCTCCTGCGTGGGAGGGGACCGATCCCTCCTGCGTGGGAGGGGACCGATCCCTCCTGTCTGGGAGGGGACAGATTCCTCCTGTCTGTGAGGGGACCGATCCCTCCTGCATGGGAGGGGACCGATCCCTCCTGCATGGGAGGGGTCCGGGTTCCTTGTAATCAGCTAGTGGACCTTCTGTGTTGTAATGCGGAAAGGAGCAGTGTCGGCATCTGTATAGTATCTCGCCAAATATGAAATTCCTATTGCAGGGGATGCCAGAAATTATACTTGTTTCCTCGTACAGACTTTTTGGAAAAGATTTTCAGCAGATGAAGAAATGCCTTTTCGTCGCTGTTTCTTAGATCTGAAAGGTCCTCATACTTGCCTATTTCTTAGATCTATTCCCAATCTGATAACAATCAAATTAAAATAATTTTAAGCGCACTCGTCGGACTCCACAGAGCTCACACTTTCCTCCAGATTTTGATGTTGGTGGCTGGCACGACCATTATCAGTTCCATGGAGTGTAGACACTTTATAGACATAATTTGCACCACAAGCACTTACAGTGAACCTGTCAATTCTGTTAAATTTCCAAGTGCCGGCTTGTGGGAAGTGTAGGGGTGAACTAGAGGGTGATGAAAAGCTCTTTGGTGCCTTCTAGTCGTCTTTGTCCAACAAGATGGAATATCTTTGTGCAGTTGGATGCTAAATGTTCCCTTTCCAGTGGAGAAAGTGAACAATGTGTCTACTGGTCATGTGCCATTAACCTGCTGCCGGAGCAAGGGGGAAGTGACAAGGGGCAAAGGTCCTATATAAAGATGGCCGTACAGGGAAAGCGTTCACAAGACTCTATGAAAATGTAGTGAAAATTCACCAAGCCGTACCATGATCGTAATATTCTGATATTGGACACAGTTCTCATTACAGACATTTTATATAGCAGCAGTCAATTTACGGAGTGCTTAGCATTTGATATATATAACATACT